ATTCTGCTGCTGTTATGTAGATAAAAGGATTAAAGCTGCAATAACTAAAGGCCACTCCCTTTGGAGCTCTCCATGCTAATTACCCTCAATATTGTTGCCAAGGGCTCCAGAAAGCTTTGTTCTTTTTGATATGTAGAAAAATAGAAAGTGTACAATAAGTTTATGTCTGTTGTTCTTGTCTCTTTCCCTGCTTTTGGCCAACTTTGCCAGTTAACTTTTTGGGATGTTTCTGACACTTAATAAACAAGCTTCAAGCTATATTTTTGCTAGCTGAACTGAGTGGCACGTGTACTTGCCCAGATCTGGATACAGGGATTGACTGGGAGTACGCTAGGCGCAAAGTAAAGTGGAAAATATTCGCAATCATTTTCCAACAAGAACAACCTCACTGGCATGCAGAATATCCCCAGTTTGACACCAGTGGAGACTCAAGTGGCTGCAGAAACAATGAAAAGAGCCACCCTGAATGAAGGGAAGGGAAGGAAAAGGAAAATAGGTGCATGACTGTGAAGAGGCTGGGGAAGTAACAGGAGGAAAGCCAGACATGAACAACCAACAGATGGGAGAGGAGTTTCTTAGTAGCTTATCTCAGAAACGACGGCTTCGCGCAGGCGGGGGGTTCCAATTGCAGTTTCCAAGATTCCGTTCTACCCTTCAAACTCATTGCGGTATTGAAGGCTGCATGACTCTTGTTACCTTGATCATGCCTTGCTGTAAGCGTCGTGATGGGAGGTTAGGGAAGGAAAAATAGTACTAAACGACAACAGTCACGCTTCCGCTGAGTTTAAACCTGGGGAATGTGACGCCAGGGCTCTAACTGCTGTGCTATTGAGATCACGCAATAACAAGCAGCAAAAAAACCTTGAACAAACACTTTGAAAATGCAAGAAAGGAACTTTTATTTTAAAGCTGCGCGTTACGCCTGCACATCTGTACATTTCTTCTGCTTTAACTTGGTATACATGTATTTCAATATGTGGGTTTTAAAAGGACAAACGTGATTGGCCATTACTTTACTGGTCTAGGGGAACTGTCCAATGGGAGAACGTGGTCCCCTGCAGCGGAGACCGACCCCGGTCAAGATGTTGGTCGGGAGGCTCTTCCTTCGGCTTAGATCGGAGCTTCCTTGAGCGAAGGGCAGGCGCGGCTTCGACGTGCCGGGCGGAGGTGCCCGTCGTTCAGCTCCTCCGTGTGATCTGCCGCCCTGGCATTCTGTGGGGAGCTCATGCTTAGAGCTACGGTCGGATGAGGCGTTCTGCAGTACATTCCCAGGAATGGAATAGATCAGTTGCGGAGCACGCGTTGTTATCAGCGGTCTCACGTAGACACCAACTATTAAAACTGCAACTTGAGAAGGTTGAGCTGGCTATTATTCCAATTGGTTTGGAAGCAAGGAAGGGGGCAAAAAAGACAACATGGCCAGTACAGCTGTCCTTTTTTTTTCCTGC